TATTCCTCGTTGTTTCAAGTAAAAAAGAGGACGAGTGTCGGAAACTCTGAGTAATTTAGCGTCGATCGTTGTCCATGTGATGGTGAGCATCTGAATTATGGAATGTTGAAACATTTTAAGATGTTTTCCATATTCATATATAGCATGTTATTTAAGATTGGATAGTTTGTGAGTGATGTTAAAATTCCTATCTGACAGAAGATAATTTTCATTCTTGCGCTTCACGATGTGTGAGGAGTTAATTTCCTAAATTTCCCTCTTGGTTTTAGATATTCTACAGAATATGTACAGAATTGTTTCTATTGTGTGGTTGACGAATATCGTCTAGTATATCGTTTCACTAATTCAGTTAGTAACAAAAATTTCATTTTCTTAATTATCGTACTGCTCTCTAATGTCTTCATAATCAATTGCCTAAAGTATTAGCTGAAGAAATCTGAGATTCTCAGGCAAATATTTAATTACTACCTGTAAGCGACAGCTGGAGTACTTAATTTTTCTGTAAATGAAATTTAACAAACGCTCCACATAATCACTGAAAATGAACTTATTCGCTCGGAAATACTACAATACATCAATTCTGAATTTTACTCAACAACAAAAGTAAAATAATGTTCATGCCTTATTTAGGATTCATTTGTAAGCATTCAGCGTTTTGCATTTTGAATATTCACATACTGTACTGATGCGTTTTCGTCATTCTGTTTGATTTCCTTATTTGTGCTAGTATCTTTGACTTTGATTCATTTCCCAAAGCCCAACATATTTATTAAGAAAATGCATTAAATCATTTTTAAGCCCATAATTATTTTCATTAGACACCAAAAATATCTTCCCAACTTCAAAGAAGAAAATAACTTCTGGTGGTGATTACCCAGAATGGCACAATACTTCTCCGCATTAGTTGATTTCTAAATAGGCTAGCAATCGGTATTTATTTGCTCCTTTCTTCTTCCTAACTGCCGGAGAAAGGGCTCAGGGCATTCAAAACTGACGTCCACTGCAGCACACCTTGACCGCCAGCCAGCGACGTGGGATTCAATCACGACGCGCAGGATTTTCGACACTCGCAATAGGCTACGTCGAATATCAGCTTGCATGTCTGGAGGAAGAATTCTAGCGGCGGCATGCTCTCATCGTATAGTAATCAACAATTAATCAAACTTCCAGGCCTGCTACCTAAAATACATGTCGTTCACATGTTTTCAATTTTCGAGCTCTTAAACATTGAATTGAAATACGCTTTAGAATATCGTATACTAGACGAGAAAATCTGGTTCCCTAGTACATTCATCATTGCATAATTTGAAAAGCTGTTATGAGAAACTCAAACGTTTTCTGTGAAATTGAGCGTGAGAAGATTGGTTTCGAGAGCTTTATTAGAGAATAATATTGTGTTCCACAAATGCAAATTATTGTATTAAAAGCGGCCATAATGTATATATTTACAACGAGAGTTATGATAAAAAACATACAATTCTGTAAATTGAAAAATCAAAGAATGCATCAAAAATGAGTATTTTTTCTTACGTCGCTTTTAACTAACAAATCAATATAGAGTTCACTATGATTGTTACTTTATGTAACTGTAGGGAACATAATTAAGGAAGATCCTTAAGTTTCCAGAGTCTCCCCACACTGTCCTTAGTATGCGGTCAGCCATGTTGATTCTCAGCACTTCTCAAGCTGAATGAAAGGACTTGAAGTCGAAACAATATAGCAAAAGTGACGTAGGCGTAAGCCAAAGAATATGTTTGATTGTGTTGCCAAAGGTTATCTTGTTTTAAACACTTTGACAAATGGTCCCAATCCACTTAAAATTTTGAGTTTTGTAGAGTTTGCCAAGGTCTTGGAATAAAATTTTATCCAAAATCGACGGTCATGCAAAATCGGAAAATAAAACCCAGATTGCTAGATGTTTTCGAACTATCCGGGTCTTTCATTTTTCCCAAACAAAACAAGCATCCCAAGGCGGACTTCGAAACCTGCGACTTTCGGAACGAAGAGACTATTTTGCACACGCCCCCCCTCCCATCCAGGTGGCGGCAAACATGAATACTTTAATTTCATATGTTCATAATGATGAAGCCTATGCATTTGATATGATTTCAACTCACCTATTAGAATATGCCACAATATACAATCAAGAAGACAATGTCTGAAAGTTGTTATTTTTAGATCAAGATCACAAAATTAGCCTTTCCGACTGGAAAAGAGTGCTTTTCCTAGCTTTCCTTTCTAAGCGTTCGAAGTGGAAGCCTTTAATTTCTTATTCTCATTTGATTAAAGCCAGCTTGATGATTTTCAAACTTTACTAATTTAGAATATTTTAATATTACATCATTACAATTCTAATTTTTTTATACAACACCACCAAATAGTCTTTCGACCCGAAAAAAGAGAGCTTCTCTAAGCAAATCCAACTTTTTCTAGACCCGAGTGGGAGCTATAATTTTATGGTTTCATAATTAGATTAAAACATAGCATTTGAATATTTCATACTTAGAATTAGAATATTTAATATACATTACCAATAAAAGAACAACGTCTGATATTTTTATAATCAACGTCACAAAATTATCTGTATCGACCGGAAAAGATCTTCTTCCAACAGAAGCACATTTTTCGAAGAGATGGCGGGCGCGCAGGGCGACGTAGCGCCGCGCGCGGCGAGGTACGGCAACCTTCTGCCCGCGGGCGCGCGTCGTTGCGAGCGTCTGCCGGTGCGGCGCCTGCGAGGGCACAGTGTCTGGTGGGGCGCGGGAGAAGGGGAGGGTGGGCCACTTGACGGGCTTGTGCGTGGCCCGCTGTCCGCCGCGCGCTGCTCGGTGGTGCACGTGCGTATTCTGCACATTTATGTTCAGTGTCGGCTATTCACTTGTGCGCGCGTCTTGTCAACGTGTCCGAAAGCGGTTACGAAATCGCCGCCTTTTGTGTCGCACGCGAAGCGCGCCGCGCCGGCCTCCGCCCCTCCGCGCCGCCCGCGCCTGGCGTCTGCCCTCCTGCAAGGCACGTCAAGATTCTCTGCAGCATTTTACAATGGCTGGATATTGACGCATTGTGTGCTGTTAGGTGGTGACCTTTGATCTGCGTATTGACATCGCTCTTCGTGATTTTTCGGCTCACGCAGAGGCCTCGAAGCTGCACTGTGAGCGACGTTGCTTGGGCTGCTGGGGGTTGGTTGAATTCAAGCGGAAGGATACGTACATGCCTCCGGGTTGGTCAAAATTCTCTCATTGGTGGTGAGGAATTAAATTTTAATGGATCAAGGGAAGTGGATGGAGTTATAATGATGTTTGTAAACTACACAGTATAAAGAATTGTTCTTTCTCTTATTTCATTATTTTTAACGGGCAACAAGAGGGATGTTGCTACTTTCCTTCCTAACAATTATTAGAGAAGACCTATGTATTGATGGTTTAAATTGATAGATGTGAACATTTATGTGAGCATTTCATGTCTCTTTCATAGATGAATACATCCTTAATGGAATTGAATGTACCAACCCCTTGCAGTGATATTACAGCTGTACCGACTGATATTTGAGCCAGTAAGAAAGACCAATTTATTTAAGTAGCATATCTTTTAATTTGATTTTTAGTCACATATCAAGTCAGTTTTTAAAGTAAATACTTTTAAATATAATTATTTGTGTACTATACGTTATGCTTGTTATTCTTGTACGGATTCGAATATACCTTTTATAACTGTACCTGGATCGAGAGGATCGTGATACGGAGAAAATGGAAAACAGTTGAAAAACATGATCCTACATGTTCTCTATTAGAGAGAATTCTGGAAGAAAAGTGGCAAAGACAACCGAAGCAAGTTGACATCTGTAATGCGTAAATAAGAAAATCTTTAATCATTAAAATACGATAAAAATAAAATATTGTATGTAACCCCGGGCAAAAACTGGTCTGTAATGATCTGGAGCCCTCGGGCCTTTTGTCACCGCTCGACCTTAGATCCCTTATAACGTCTTGGTACATAAATAACATTTTCTTGTTGAAAATACTGTTTTTTTCAAAAAATTACCATTGCATCAGCACCAAAAAGATAAAACGTATTTAAAATTCTGCTTGTGTAGTACTAAATTAACTCACGAAAATTTCTTGTGACGAACAGCTGAGATCAGACCACTGATATTACAACCCTTTCTCCAGAACCGATCTTCTTCTCCTGGAAGGGAATCCCGTATTAGAAGGCGCTAACCCACGCTCATCCCTCGCATCCCCTTCTTCTGAGCAAGCGTCTTACCGCGCGCTAGTAATGTGCGGGCGATTTTTGGACTTCTGCAACAGATGACCCGCCGCGCCCCCTCCTCCCCCCTCCGCCCCCAACCCGAGTCACTAGAGGCGGCGCCCCGCAGACTTCGCCCCTCGATGAGGGGGCAGACTAAGACGCGGGAGATTTGCATAGGAGCGCATCGGTTGAGGGGGGGGGACGAGACACCAACCGGCGGGAAAGGGTGAAAATGAGGAACTGGAGGAACAGAGCGGCTGACAAAGGCACTGATAAAGGGTTGCGGAGGTTGAATGAACGCGGGGAAGGAGAAGGGCATTAGGTGCGTCAGTAAAGACCGAGATGTAACTGTGAGGATTCGTAAGTGGATGATGTGGCCGGCCGTGATTGTTATGGTAACGGAGCTAGATGAGGGGCATGATTGTGGATGTGGAAAGGAGATGTGTGGGTAGAGCTTGCAAGTTGATTGGTGGAAGGGGAGAAGCGAGGAGTAGATGGTTATCGAGTAAAGCGTGACTGTGATAGAACACTAGAGCACGTGTTAATGGGAAATGGTGTGAACCATAAAAAATATAATTTATTTACTAATAATTTATCAAACGCATTTGTACACCGAACATGCTTAGAAACCGAGAAGAAGGTAAAGGAATGCAGAAGTTTGCGATGATACATATAGCCTAAATAGGACGTGAATCGAGGTAGAAGCATGGAAGGAAGAAGCCGAACATTCGCATATAAAGCTGAATAATAGAAGGATGTTGCAAATCAAGGAAATATAAAGCATCAACGAAAAGGATTAACGTTTACAGAATTTTACGTGTAAGAACCCTCGGTAAAATATAAACGACGTATTTATATTCATTTTTATATTTCTAAGTATTTTAGCTTATTAGAAAATAATGCAGAATATGATAAAAGATAATTTTAATTTTAAACGTTTTATTTTAGTTTTTCCAGAAAATTTTTAAACGCGGTTTATCAGTGTAGCAATTTATTCTGGTACTAAACAGGAAAATCAAATAAAACCGTTTGCATTCTAATTCAGATTTCAATTCACACTGGGTTATATCATCACCTAAATGATACAAAAATCGTGTTTCCATTCATACGCGAACAATTCACACATGAACGATTTAAAACACAGAACCACTCCGCCATCGAGGGTAGCGCCAACCCTTTGGCGACATTTCATCGCGTTGCTCCGTGCCATTGAGCGCGGGGGGCGGGTAGAGGGGGGGGGCGCGACCGCAGCGCGGCCATCTGACGCTGATGGAGACGCACGGCCGCCCGCCGAGGGGGGCACGGCGCCCCCGAATTCATTACGCGACTTAAATGCCCCGGCGCGACCCCCTCCCCAGGAGCAGCGGGGGTAATCTTCGGTTGAGAACGGACGCAAGGAGGGATGGAAGGGCTAGGGACAGTGCATGTCGTAGAGTGCTCATGGGATACCAAAAACACGCAAATCGTATTTTCTGATATTTCGCAGAAAATATTGTTAGAAACACATTTTTATTAAATATAACATGTGTAAATAATCAATAGCCATCTCTTTATTAAAGTTTATCAGTTATCTATAAGAACTCTATTTTCTTTCAATGTTCCTTGTCGTGCTAAAAGACGTACGTGTCAATATTTTGTCATTGAATTTTGTGTAGAAGTGAACCCTAATCAAAATAATATATAATCAAACTAAAAGGTTTCATTCGCTATTCTATTTTTCATCTGATCAAAGATTTCAAAAGGTATCTATTTTTCTAATTTGTTCATTAATATGTTCACGCTTGTAATGTATTCATTCATTCATTTTGTTACGGGCTTAGTTTCATATTTCTCCTTAATACCTCATATACAGTTTTTCTGTTTTCTTACAATGAATAAATCAAATTAACGGAACTAAAAAAGTGGGATGTGTGTTCGAACAATTGATCGACAATAATCGATTTAAAATAATGATTATTGGTGTTTCCGGGCGTGTCAACTACTTGGGTCATTAGCCCGTTAAGTGTGGGGCATGTTATATTTCGGGAGGTAGAGGAATTTCTCTTTCGCTGAATGGTGGGATTTGGCTCCTATTGTCGGTTTATGGGTTTTTTTCCTTCCAAAAATCTTTCCCAGAGGGGGACCGCCCCAGGAGGGGGGAGCTCTACGCTCGCGACAGGAGTCTCCCGACAGGAGTGATAGTGTAGTGCATGTAAGTGTAGATGTGTGTAAGAGAAGAGGATGAAAGTGGGATGAGACAAGAAAAAAATCGCACGATCCGTGGCCAGTTTGTTAAAGTACTGTTTTGGCCTTCGCCGGGTAGAAATCAGAGGAACCACGGAAAATTACCTATCAGAGCAGCAGGTCGCTAGAATTCACATTCAGAAAATAGATTAAATAGACTAGTTATGTAGCTGAGATCCAAAATCCTCCACCATCGGGACTCGAACTCTTCGATCTTCTAATCAGCGACCACAATGTTTCCACTAAGCCATCCCAACTTGTGCATGTTTTATAACATGGGACGTCACTGATGACACCGTAGGCTACGAATCCAACACCGGCGGCGAGGACGACGAGGGCGGAATCTTCGCGCCTAAGCCCTCATTTGTTTAGCGGTATCCCCTCCGACCCCTTCCACCCTTTCTTCTATCGCCTTCCCCCATCCCTTCCCCTTCTCTCGGCGCCGCGGGAGCGTCTCAAGCGCCTCCTTCGCACTACGTCTGCATTAGTGGGCGCGGCAATAGAATACTTTGCGGTGAATCTCCATTAGTGTTACTGTCGCCGTGGCGCACGGTCTCATCCATAGTCATGCGAACGCCGGATAAATGCGGAGAGAGCTGCGCTCTTTCCGCTCATACGGTTTTGCAGAACGAGGATGATGCAGAGCCCCATACCCTTTGCTTCCTTCCTAGGGGAACCAAACAAATGGGTGTATTGTGTCCTGAAATATATTACAGTAGTTGCTTTGTTGGTTCGCGGAGTACCAGTGGTAGTTAATGGATAAGGAATTAATTTTTACTGCGGCGTGAGGGTGAAAACGCTTCCTGGCGGGTTTGCTCTGTGGCCAATTAAAAAGTGGGCGGGGCGCATCGCGGCCAAAGCGTTTGCAAACGGCGTCTTCCGGAGAAGAGCCACAGACGGATGCCTTCCGCACTGCGCACCGGAGTGGGCTGGGCTCTCGCCTTGGCCTCTGATGCCCTTCGCCACGCACGTGGCTCGTTTTCTGTTCTTTGGAAGTTCACTTTCTCTCTCTCTCTCTCTCTCTCTCTCTCTCTCTCTCTCTCTCTCTCTCTCTCTCTGTCTCTCTCTGTCTCTCTCTCTGTCTCTCTCTCTCTGTCTCTGTCTCTCTGTCTCTCTCTCTCTGTCTCTGTCTCTCTATCTCGTCAATAGTAGTTAAGAAAGTATTATTGAAAATTAATCGCTTGATATTTGCATGTTCTACTTTCTGCTTCGTTGACGTATCAGGATCCTACCATAATATGCATTTACTTAATTTACTTCATCCTATTTTCGTCCTTAATTTACTTCATCCTATCGCCGTTTTGTTTGATCAATCTTTCGTTTATCGTGTGATGTGAAGGTGATTTATGCCTGTGTATCGTTTAACGTATACCATTTCATCCAATCCATCTCATCCCATCATTGATTAGTAGGTTGTAAATTCTCTTGATAATTAACTCATTTTCTCAGTTTCTTTTGCTGTCTCGTAAACGTACTGTAAAAGAAGTTACGTTAAGTAGCGGAAAATCAATGTCGAAACTTATTAGCTCATTTGTCTCGTTCGTTAGACATTGTTAATTCTAGACCATCTACTCGCCAGAGAACAGTACATCGTTACTGATTGACCGTCAATGAGTGT